CCCTTATCGGCCCGTTTTAAAAAGTTACAGTTTTCGGCCGGTCAAAGAGCTTTATCAGGCGATTTACAGCTTTCAGCAGCCTCGTACGACGTCGTTCCCGGCCCGATAATTTGCTCATTGCCGCGGCACACGGGCCCCCGGTGAGTTATGTGACGGGAAATTGGTGCAACGCCGCGCCGACTGCCTGCGCGGCTATCCAGGGAAGCCGGTTTATCGAGATCGCCCGTTACGAAAGCGCGGGAGTACGTCGCCGATCGGTTTAGATACGGTGTATTAATTCGGTAGGCCGTTACCGATCTCCGCCGCTTCTCGATCGGCCGTTCTCATTAAGAGCGAGCCGACGTGAAAATTTGGTGTAATCGATTCATTTTAATTAGATCTCTATCCGTTTCTTATTTACAAAAATCCCCGGGAAGGAATTTTACACAGAATCAGCCAGCAGAGTTTCGTGCTTTCACAGAATTCTTCCAATCGCTGGAACCATTAACGCGGGAAAGAAAGTTGTGTTTTAATTGAGTTCTGTGACACTCGATCATGGGAATTTAGACTTGCATGGAAATTCCAAGTGTAATGATAATTCCGGGGGTAAAGAACATCGGTTATATTGTTAATAATATTATATTTTCCTTCTGGCGTAGTCGTTGCCAAATAGTACGGGAAATATGAAAAGAGTGTACTGGAAACAAGCGTGGTACGTCAAGTAGCATTTTTCTTGGAAATTTGACGTGTGTGATTTTAGGATTTCCTGGCTATGCGAAGCACCGATCCAGACACCAATCGCCTGTCAGTATCGCGCATCCTCTCGCGGGATGTTTTGGCTCGCATAGCCAGGATAATCCGGCTTAGTATCCTCCAGCGTGCTCCATGTGAATGAGAATCGATCCTCCCTTCGTCAGGATATTCAGGACAGTAGGCAGATGCTACCAGAAATCCCTGGGCAGCCTTTAAAAATCTGCCGATTCCTCGTGCCCCACCCCCCATCGCGAAGCTTCAGTTTAGGGATATCTTGCCCACGACTTCCGGTGGGAATTTGTAATCGGACAACCATCGTTAACTCGCAAAAACTATTCGAATCTACAAATGTCGATACTGACCACTGGTTTTCGATTTTGTTGCAGTAATAATCCTAGTAACTTTCCTAAAATATCCCTAGTAATTTTTCGTATGAAACTTATAATGCCATTCGTATAAAATATAGTGATTACAACTCTCTAATTAAAAGTTTACAATTTGTGCAAATTTCTAATGTTCCATAGTATTTTTAAATATACAAAGTTGAATAGATCTTTATATTTTATATTAGGCTTTCTATTGTATGAGCGTTAACATATGTGCAGTGTTAAACTTCATTAAAGTTTCTATGCCATTGTAATTTCTAGGTTAGGAAACGCTATGAACGCATGAAAATCGTTAAACTGCTAAATGGATTAATGGCGATTATTGTTAAAGCGTTTATGTCCGTGTCCTTTTTAGGTTAGGAGACGCTGTGAGTACATAAAAATGCGCAATCTATTAAACAGTTTAATGGTAGTAATTGTACCAAGAATTATGCTCGTTTAAGAATCACGTTTACACACGATTCGTGCAAGGCATATTGATAGTTGCAGTATTTCATTAACAAAGAACTGTGAAAGATATTGAGACTTATCGTGAACTGGTTACGGAGATATCGTGGACGGATTGATGCAGCATCTGTTCGATGTTTGGTGCACGAGCATGGTCTTCCATTTGTTCATCAGATTCACATGTTTTTCTGGGACGTTTACCTTTGTACAGACATGCAGTGGCTTCCAATTTCTTGCGTGATACTCCACAACATAATTAACACATTTGTTACACAATATTAAATCACTTCCTATAGTGCACGCGCAGACATGTTGGTTTACCGGTCACGTGACATAAAGGCGCTAAACTGTTACTTGCGCAGCACTGTTTAAATTTTGTTTGCACGGGCGCAACACGTGATCTGTGAACCATAATGGCTACGCGAGATTTGATGGTGTTAATTTGTGATCTTTAATTAAATGTAAAGTAGTGTTCTAATGGAGTTTCTAACTTGTTTCGTGGTACAATTGAATCTGCTAAACGAGTAGAGCACCTCCATCTATCAGTTCATTCACCATCATTACCAAAGTAAGGTAAATATCAATATCTTCAACAGTGTTTATAAAATATTTAATATATTTATTATTTTTGTAATAACAATATATTTATAAAAAATGTATTAGATGAATATATGATATAATGAAACACCAGGGTCAGTAAATATTTGTTGAGCTTCTCGTTGAAACTGAAGGAAATATCCATAAATGTACAAATATCGTTAAAAATCTTAATTTCGTTCAAAGAAGGCATACATTTGTTTATTGTTTGTGACAATACAATTTTGACGCCCCTACAGCTTTCTAAGAGACTCCATAGCCAAGAAAGTTCTCCACGAAAACGGACAAATTAAAATTTTTATTCCATTCGACTTACACCGTTCGGTTCCGTTCGAATGCTGGAGCATGGAACCGAGCGTATAACGCTCGGGCAATGCAAAGATCGCAAAAAAGAGGAGTGTTACGTGGCACTACGTTCGTGAACGGTTCGCCATTATGGATGCCGCGATTCCCTAAAGAGAAATCGCCGGTTTGTCTCCCGTACCCCTCCGCTCCCCGCATCGCCACCGTCGAATTATTGTACTTTTGTATGCTAACGGCGCGAGTATCCCTTAAACGTCGCCGTTATAACGGCTGGGGGAGACCAATTACGGTAATTAGCCGCCATAAACGAGTAGTGTCTGAGAAAGCACCTCGAGGTTGCCCCCTTCGAGCGAACAATACGTTGTTGCTGCGCCGCGGTAACCGATAAATATAAGACAGCGCGTCTCCGTGGACATCCACCGCTCGGGATATCCTCCATTGTTCCCAATTAGAGGCCTTAACTAACGCGCGCTCGGACTTCTCTCCGTGCTATATTTCCATCTCGGTTTGGCTCGGCGGAGGAGCCCCGTGTAAATTGGAATGTCGGTTACACTGGATTCTAGCTATCTTTTTTTTCCTTTTGCTTTCGGAAAGAGAAGGGATCGCATCCCCTCTCGTTGAACTTCTTGAAAGATATCCGCACTTACGGCTACGTTTAATTATTGTAGTTCGGTATTAAAGTTCAGTGGAATGAAGTAGAAGGACATTTTCCTCCGACATCTTTGTATTATTTTCGTTCTTTTAATTGTGGTATTTACGCTGTATAAAAAGATTGTCCTTGAAGAAGTTAAGTTATATGGTATCTTGTAAGTTTATTCTGAATTTCAAAACTCTTTCTTCTTGAAACCAAGGAGACTTTGTCACAGCGAGTTGTCAATGAAAGGGTGTAAACGATCGGTACAACTGAGGATCAACAATTATGAAACTGAGTTGTTATCCCCATACGATATTTCGGAGAACTGTGTGAACGTCCGTAATTACATTACATTACGCGAATAAGAGAACGGATCGCGGAGAGCTGTCTGGCGTAATCTTTGCTCGTAATTGGCCAATTTTTGGCATCACGGAGGCCTTGGCAGGGCTCCGCCCGCGAACTTCAGGGAGCTCCTTCAGGCGGAGGGCAAGTCGGTCCGCCGTGTTGATTTTTATTCAGAGATCTCACGCGCGCTCGCGCACACGCTCACGGGTCGGCGCAACCACGCGAACTTCGTAATTGCGCGAAGGAGAATAACGAAGTTCTCGCAAGACTCGGCTAATCTCATTCAGAAAAAAAAGACTTTCTTCTTCGTGCTCCGGCGCCACCGCGTGCCCTCTTTTCAAAGGGGATTTCGGCGTGAATGTCGGCGTTCGCAGTTCGTTAACGCTCGCTGCATAAACTGAGCGGATGAATGAGAAGCTCATTGGCTGGTCGATGCGGGGCTGCACGCCCGCGGGAAGAAGAAGGAACGAACGATACCTCGACGAACTCTCTGTTCGAAATAAAAATAAAACTAGGCGTTTTCTTATCGGTCTCGAACAACAGAGCGATACGCCATCTGCGCCGTACGTGAAACGCGTACAGGTCTCGCTTCTCATTGACGCGAGCTGAATGCTAAGAGGATTCTAGCCCGTTCTATCAATCGTCCGGGCGAATAAATCGCGATCGAAGGGTTAGCCGGTGCCTGATGCCGCGTCCCTGACACTCGCCGGAATGCCGGGAAGGTCGGGATAGAAACGTGCACGAGTCAATCGTCGCTGCTGTCAGATGTGGTTGCCCCGCGCGTTCCCCGGAATAAAAAGCAGATCCTCGCGGAGAGGCGCACGAGAGGCCATCAGCACGCGGCAACCTGGCGAGCAGTTAGGGAGGCACTTGGTGCACGCCGGGGAATTATAATCCCCGGGTTGCACGAAGAAAAGGCGCCTTCTGCGCGGGGCGAGCGCAAGCCGAATGCCGCACGGCCGAGGCATTTCGTGGCCCCAGCGTGTTTTCACTTTTTCCGCGCGGGCTTTGTAAGACACTGCCAGCTACAGGAATGCCGCGGCTTCGTGAAAATACCGTGCGAGCCTCGGCCACGCGGAATCGGGAGCCGTTTTTCGACGCGAGTTCGACCCCTTCTTGCTGTACCCTGGCGAAATTGCTGCTGGAGACCGGTGCGCCGGATTAAACGGCCCGAATCGGGTGCTCTGGGTCTTCGATTCTTGCCTCATTCACTCGCGTATTCATCGTTCGACGGCTTGAGGCGTTTCTGAGATGTACCCCGCGTATGTAGGATTTGAGAATGTTGGTGATTATGCCGAGAATAATGCAAATTATAGACAGTCGCTGAAAAGATTAGACAATGTGCAGTTATAGACTTAGAATGTGAGAACCGATTTTTAGGTTGTACACAAATTATTTGAAAATTCATTTTTCTGGCTTGCCAAGGTGTCAGCCTGTATGAAAAGACGTTCCACTTGGCTCGAATGTAATCCTGATTCCCCCCACTTTCCAATTGCTATGATTAGCGTCGTGTTACTAATATCTAATCGAAATGTATCTGTTGATCCGGGGTCTAGGCAGATGTTCCCTCAGATGAAGTTCCGAGTTTCCGGACTGGACGCGAAGGCCAAGTACATGTTGCTGCTGGACATCGTCGCGGCGGACGACTACAGATATAAGTTCCACAACAGGTAAGCCTCAGCGTGTACGTGTGTACAAGACCTCATAAAGGTCTAATTGTCACGGTCAGGCTGCGTTAACGATCCGGGCCGTTCCACGAATCGCGGGTGCTACCAGGAGAGAGCCCGTGTTCCGTCGAAACGCCAGAGAGCGGTTTCGTACCGCAGGAGGGACGACGCCACGTCTCTCTCAGAACACGGAAATTAATGCAATTATCTGATTATTCGATACCTTCGTGCGCGCTTGCTCTGGTGTTGTTGGCACTTTCTGCGATGAGCACGCGGAGATGAATTCCCCACCTTTTTTTGCACGATCTGGGCGGACGTCGGCGATGATGATGATGGCCGTGATGATGATGATGATGATGATGATGAAGTGAGAATTGGTGTCCAGTGAAAGTCGTTGGAAGTCGACATAATGTTGCGATTAAATTGGGTTTTATTTAACTTAACGAAATTAACTGCTTCCCGCGTTCTGCCTTCTTTTCTTTCGGCACGTTTCGCGTTTACCCGGCGGAAGGTCTGGCGGGTACAGCGAAATCTTGATTATTCGCGTTAAACTTTCCACCTATCTGCCGCGCCCTGGGATAAATTTATACTTCGAAATTACGAGTTGCAAACGACGAAGCTTCTTATCGTTCACGACGGAGCCTGTAATTCGGAGCTACGACTTTCTCTGGCGAAGATTTATATTCCGAAAACGATCACGTTCGAAAAGTCTGATTATAGTGACACTTGCGTGGCGAATTAGCGAGCTCGCTGTTTTGAGGAGTAAAAATTACTCGCACCGAAATTACACGCTCGACCGTCCTGACAGGCGTGATTATCGCGTTTTCGGGGTTTATAACTTCACTTCTTGCTTTCACCGTGCAGATATTTATGCGTAAAAATTATAACACGTTCGACGCTTTCAGCGTATCTCCCAATTACTTGAAATAGTTTCCTGTATCGAATTTCTTCTGAATTCAAAGTATCTAGCGGTTAACGTCGTAATGATTATACACTTCTTTTCTCAATGTGCTACTAGTTTCTACATTCTTTTGGGGAGATATGAAAAATTTAATTTTAAACTCCTCCTTTCGCAAAGTCCCCTAAATATGAAAGGAGTATAAAACACTCGGTTCCACTAAAGGTGTTTTCATATTCCGAGAATTTCAAGACGGTAGAAGTATTAAAAATATAATGGCAGACTCTTCAACATCCGTTTGAAGGCTCGACGCCATGAAAAATCTGTTCTGTACGGTGTACCGTGTGTTCCATCAGTCATTTAACCGTCATCAAGGTTTCCCGGAACATCTCGAGGATTCTCGAGACGGGGGGAATTCAGACACGCGTTCTCACGGCGCATCGGCGGACAATCAGCCGCGTTTAACGTTTTGCTGTCCCGGTTTTTTCGTCGGCTTCTTCACCGGAAGCAGCGATGGTGCGCGTTCCGACGCGTCGCGAGGGTGTTAAACGGAACATAATTGCCCTCCCGGGAAAGCTGTCGAGGAAATTCGCCCGCCGACTTCCAGACAAAGCGGCGGAATCCGCGGAAACGTGTCAGCGATCATCCGGCTCCTTAAGCGATTCGCCTGCGTAAATGGCGAATCCGCGCCGGACCCGCGCGTATGATTCCCACGCGAATGAATGAAACGGGATTCTATTCCGTGCCGCTTGGCGTCCGATTGCTTTTTGCAAATGCGGAATCGTTCTTGTCCTCGCGTTTCCCGTAATTCGAGCGAAATATTTAGGTCCTTCCGCGAATTATGTTTCTTGCTCGCCCCATTGTCGCTGGAATACGCTCAATGATGCCTCTCCTCTTTTATGGAAACTGTACAAAATGCAAGCAGAATGCTGATTTACTTTTCAGTCGACCGACTTCTCAATATTAAAGGTTTAACAGTTCAGTATCAGAAGAAAACAAATTGTAAGCTCGTAATAGATGAAGAGAAAAGTTCTTCCGATTTTTCATCTCTTAAGTTATAGACTATTGTTCGATTGATCGAACGTCTCGAACGATCGACGTCATGCACGATTTCTTTTCCGCGAACAGACGGATAGGAACGACAGGGACTGCACATCGAAACGCAGAGACCACAATGAACGTGATTACATCACGCGACCGCAGCCACTTTGGAACTCGTCGAACGAGTTCCTCTTCCTTCGGTCGTTTGACCCACCTGCGACGATCAGACTGCGCGAACGGTTAGACACGCCTCCCCTTAAAAGACAACAATCGCGGTAGCCGGTGCTTAGAGAGATCGGCCGGTCGCCGAGAAGCTTCAGCTGAGATTCCGCGATCCTTCTCGATTGAAATTTTGTCTTTGCTGGAAAATTACTGGATATATTTGCTATATTTTCTTTATCAAAATATTAACTTCTTGCTGTACGATTTGGAACATAGTTCATGGTGCATTTGAAGTTTTTGTTTATGGTCTTATGTTATAGTGCTATCTGCATTTTACAAGTTACAATTGAACGTACTTATTTCTAATAATGTCTTTAAAGTTCCTAAATCTTTGTCTTTGAAAGTACCAACTACTGAACGCGAATTCCCTATTCTATCTAACCGATCCGATATTGTTGATAATGTCTAACCACATTCTGAATATGTTTGCCGAGCAGCAGGTGGATGGTGGCGGGGAAAGCCGACCCGGAAATGCCGAAGAGAATGTACATCCATCCGGACTCACCGAGCACTGGTGAGCAATGGATGCAGAAGGTCGTGAGCTTCCACAAACTCAAACTCACTAACAACATCAGCGACAAGCACGACTTTGTAAGTATTGTACGTACCGCCAACCAAACAATTACTTACTTACTTAGCTACTAAGTCGGAGCTCCAAGACTCGCAATTAATCGCCTAACTTTCGCCCAGCTTACGACCCCTAACGATCGGCCGATTAAAAGCTCGTTAGCGGTTCTCTCCGACGTCCGCGACGATGACGAGACACCAGACCCCTTTTTGGGTCGACGATTATCTCGCGATGCACTTCGATGTAATCTTACGGTATACGGAAGCGTTAACTGCGCTCACCTAGATACCTGTCTATTAATAGGGGGTTGGGTTCTCTTGAGGAATTAAAAGCATCATGATTACTCTTCCTATATATTATTATTGAGATCGGAATTCCATTTTCTCGAAAAATAAATGAACGGAATTTATACGATCGTATTTACTCATGTGCGTCAATAGTCTCGTCTTTAACACTTTAATATATCGACTGAACCGTATTTTGTTAAGATCTATTAGACGAAAGAAGGTTAATGACACTATTACAAATTGACTGCAGTCTCTTATGCAGTCATGGTATATAAAAGTCTTAAATATGTATGAAAGATCAAGTTAGTTGAATGTTCCATCCACTGAAATCAGCAATTATTAAAATTGAAATCTTTGACTAAAATTCATTTTCCTATACAATTGTACGAAAATATGAATCTGTACAATGTTTTGGAGTTTAATGATGAATTTTGAATTAAACAAGTTTCACTATTACCAATTTCCTTGTGTGTCCCAAGATAAATTAATTAATTATCACCCCAAAAGTACAAGTAGAAGCAATCATTCATCTCACCATGGTTTCCCAGATACAGAATCGAGAAACCGATAAATGCCAGTAGCTTAAACCTGTCCCGGAAATCTGCTCCCACACGTAAGCGATGCGGCGTGGCAAAAGGGTCGTGCGAAAGGACCGGAAACGCGGGGTCCGTGCTTCCTCCGCGAAGGTACGCGACGCGAAACAGAAGGATTCCGTCGTTTTGGTCTTTGAAACAGAGGGATGGGAGGTTCATGATCGAATTTCCGCGAGGATTCCGAACCGGCGAGCTAATCCGGGGATTAAATTATCGCGATGGATTTCGCCGTCAAGTAGTTGCAGCGGCCCCCGTGAACTTTGTTGCCGTCCCCCGCTGCCTCCATGAGACCCATGGTACTTCTATTAGCCCCCGTCTCACCTTTTCACTGAGAAGAAGAGGGTCCTGCGGAAGCCAGGCGTCTCGCAAAGAAGCCTGGCTCTTTCAGCAGTCTCCCCCACCCCCTGTCACAGCTTCCCCCACTCTCATTTTTTTTGC